GGGTTCAGGCAATCCACTCACCTCAGCCTCCCAAAGGTGCGGGATTACAGGCTGAGCCACCGAGCCCGGCTTCTATAATAAATTTAAAAAAAAATTGGCTGGGCATGGTGGTGCATGCCTGTAGTCCCAGCTACTTGGGAGGCTGAGGTGGAAGGATCGCCTGAGCCCAGTAGACTGAGGCTGCAGTGGCCTTGAAAAGAAAAAAATCACTTGGCTAGCCAGAAGTTGTTAGGCATGCTTGGGGTGACTCTGTGCTCCATCACTTCTAACCAGGACATTTCCTCTTCTGAACTAGAAGATTGACCCCTTACCATGATATCTACATTTGTATGAGGGATACTGGAAACAGGCTGGCACCTAGAAGTTTCTTAAAGTTTCTTACTGAAACATATTAGAAACTACCCTTCTGCCCTCCCTACTTTTCCATCCCTAGTATATGCTGCAGCTAGAACTTCATGGTGCAGGGTAGAGGGCAGTTTGGCACAGGGAACATGATACTCAGATGTTAGTCTCCTTATGACTGACTATTGGTGTTCCTCCTCAGGGCTTGCTTCCACGGGGCCAGCATCCTAATCCACTTCGGGAGAAGAACCGACGGGTGAATGAGCTGGTACGGGCAGCATTGGCTAGCCACCCTCGGGCCCACTTCCTGGATGCTGATCCTGGCTTTGTGCACTCAGATGGCACCATAAGCCACCATGACATGTATGATTACCTGCATCTGAGCCGCCTGGGCTACACACCCGTCTGCCGGGCCCTGCACTCCCTGCTTCTGCGCCTGCTGGCCCAAGACCAGGGTCAAGGTGTTCTGCCAGAGCCCACACCCTAAGCATCCTGCCTTCCCACATTAAATTCTCCTTCCTTGGTCTCTTGCTTCCTAGTTTATGGTCAAGCCTATGTGGGTACTACCACCAGATCCTCCCCATAGATCTATGACCCTGTACTTCTGCAGGGTGATTCTATTTCTGCCCAAGGCAGGCATCACTAATCCATCAAGACATTCTGGTTCTTACAGTCAGGTTTCAGGCAGGCACTATCAGTCAGTAAACACTAGGTGAAAGCAGCTTGCCAGCACTACTCTGTAGGATTGAGGTCAAACAAGAATTCTGGAAGAGTCAAGCCCATCCTAAATTGTCCCACCGGTCTCTGCTTATACCATTCCCCTGGCTGGACTTCCTAGTGCACTAGTCCTTGCTTAGATGCTATTTTTCTTTTTCTTTTTTTTGTGAGTTGGAGTCTCACTCTGTCACCCAGACTGGAGTGCAGTGGCCGCTCCCCGCCACTGCAGCCTCGACCTGCTGGGCTCCAGCAATCCTTCCACCTCAGCCTTCCAAGTAGCTGGAACTACAGGCGGGTGCTACCACGCCTGGCTAATTTTTTGATTTACCGTAGAGATGACGTCTCGCCGAGTTGCACAGGAGAGTCTCAAACCCGCGGGCTCAGGCAATCCACTCACCTCAGCCTCCCAAGGCGCAGGATTACAGGCTGAGCCACCGAGCCCAGCTTGATCCTATTTTTCTGGAGGTATCCTGACCTTCTACCCCTAGTAGTCATCCCTCCACACAGGGAGTGGCTATTGGTCTCACTCTGAGAGGCGGGCGCTATGTCCCCTTGCTGAATGTGAAGGGTGTAACCCAGGGGCTCCTAGCTCAGTTGCAGTGCTGGTCCAGGCCACACGGGGGCAGCAAGGGTCACTGAGGACAGCACAGTACTCTAGGTGGACTAGTCTTCCCATGCAGTGCCGCCTGTGCTGGGACCTTTCAGGGGCTGTTTCCTCAGTAAAAATGACTCCAAGGCCAATAAGGGCGATCTTTCTTGTGTCTCAAGCTTTCCCCAAGCTCATCCAGATGGATGGCTGAGAAAGGGGCAGAACAGGCTGGATGAGGACCACCTAGTCCTTGGTAAATCAGGGACCTGGCCCCTGGGGTTCTTCTGATGTGAGAGGTGGTCCTGGAATTGCTGCCCTCACCTCATGTAAAGTACTGTTTCATGACAATCTTGGGGCAGGACTGGAACAACCAGCACCCCTCTCCATTTAGAGCAGATAGCTACACAAGTGTGTTAAACAGCTTTAATCTCAGTCATTGCGGCTTCTCGGCACAGTAAGAAATATTGCACATGATCAACATGTTTTGTTCTGGGGGTAGGGGCAAGGGTAGGGGGAATCACCTTCTTAGAAAGTACAACCCAAGTTGGGAGGGCAGAGGGGGTGGGGAGAGAGCCCTCCCCATGCCTGTGGCAAAGTGCAGGAGCCCCCACCCCCAAACTAACCTGAGTCCAGCCCCTCTGGGGGAAAAAGGGGTGCATGAACTCCCCCTACTCCACAGGAATCTTCCTGTGGCCCAAGGCCCTCACAGCCCTCCAGCTTGCAGCCCTCACAGGAGCCATTTTGCATAAAGTGAAAAGCTCTGAAGGTCACACACTCCAGGTTATGTACAGGGGCTCGGTGGAGGGAGACTGCCCCTGCTTCCCCTCAGCTGCCCCCCAGCACAGGGAGGGAACTGGGGGGGGGAGGGGGTATATACAAGAGGAGCAGGCCTCATTCCGCCCCAAACTGGAAAGGACGAAATGGCTATACAGGGGAGGAGGTAACCATCCTGCCCCTCAACTCCTGCCACCTATATACTGTTCATGTCCTGAGGGGCGTACTGTGAGTCCTGGGATCTTCTCAAGGGTCCCTCACCTGCCTGTGGCAGCTGTGGAGGGGCCTGGGGGTGGGGGGGAGGGCTGGGGAGCACCCTCCCAGCCAGGCTGTCCAGGCCCCGACTCGGGGGGTGGAGGCAGTTGTGGGGCAGCCTGGGCTGTGCCAGAGTCCGAGCCAGGTGAGGTGGGGTCAGGGCCCCCAGCAGGGCTGGGAGTGGGAACAGGGGCAGCAGCGGTGCCAGTGGGGGGCGGTCCAGGGAGAGGGGTCTCAGCTCCAGGGGGTTGCTCTGTGGGAGTGGCCGCCTGCATGATCTTCTGGCGCACCTCACGAATCTTCAACTGCAGACAAACCTTGGAGGGAAAGATGTCTGCGTACCGTGCCTGGAAGGCTGCTGTGGCCTGGGCTAAGAACAGAAAGACAGTGGGGAGAGCAGGGTGAGATATGTAGGTAGGTACCAACCAAATGACTTCCAAGACTCAAGACACGCTCACCTGACGGGAAGAAGCCGTGGTCCTGGAAGAGCTGCATGACCAGGGCCCGACGCTGGTCCAGGGTGCGCCGCAGCGATGAGTATGGCACCTTCTCGTACTCCAACTCCCCAAGCACATCCTCAGCTTCTGTACCTACAGAGGCACAGGGAGCGTGGTCAAGGCTACAGCAGAAGCCTGGGCTGCCCTGCCACAGTCTGAGTGTCCACCTAAGCCCTCAATAAATTCTGTATCCCAGGGGCATCAGAGGAGGGACCCATCCAAGATCACATAGCAACTTAGGGGCCTACTAGATTCCAGAACCCACCCTTGACCTGCTGTGCTTCCTCTCAGTGGCACCCACCCCACTGCTCCCCCTCGAACCACTTTCCTCAGAGCCCACTCATCTTGCAGGCCAAGGCCCCCACAGTTGTGCCCACCACAGCACCTGTGCGGTCAAAGGTAAAGATGTCCCCCTCGCACTTGGCACTCTTGGGGGTGTTGGGCTCCGAGCTGCAGCTAGAGCGTCTCCTCATCTTGCGCTTGGGGGAGGTAGGGTCCTCAGGTGCCGAGTCCAGGTCTGGTTAAACAGAGACAGGCTCAGTGGAGGTGGCTCCAGTGTTTCCCCACCTGCTACCCTGGGTGCCCAGTGCTCGCCTACCGGTGGAGTTCTTCCTCTTCTTGCGGTAAGAGCCCAGGATGGCCCGGGGCGAGGTGGCCAGAGACTGCAGGGTGGGGGATGGCAGCACCTCCTCCGGCCGAAACTCGGGCAGTTCAGCAAAGCGCTCTTCGAAGTCCACCTCTGACAGGACCCTGCTGGAGAGTGGGCAGGGTCACCTTCCCCGCCTAGGCCTGCAGTGGCTCCTACCACCCCACCCCATGACATACTCTGCCAAGGCCCCAGCCCATGCTCACTTGTCCACAGAGTCAAAGGTCTTCTTCAGGGGCGGGGGCCGCACCTTCACCTTCTTGCCGGTACTAGCCACCTCCTTGCGTTCAGGGGTGTCCCCAGTCACCCTCCCACCGCTGCCCTCGCTGCTGACACTGCTGCTACCAGGGGCTGCGGCTGGAGCTGGGGCTGGGCTGGGAGGTGTGGGAGGCTCCCCACGACTCTCCAGGCTCTGTCCAGGGACACGCCAGTCTGAAGATGAGCTGGGGAATTTGCTGGCCTGGGGTGGAGATGGGCAAGGAGATGGAGAACACCAGGCTCAGACTTGCTAAGCAAAAGTCAGAAACAAAAAGTTGAATGTTCAGACAGTCCGACAAACAGAGCCTGAAAGAAGACCTTATCACACAGCCCTCGAAAGGTCAAGACATGGACATCAGACTGGAGAGGTTACAACACAGGCAAATGAGAGACACAGAAAAGACCCTTAAACCTGAGAGACACACAAACATGGAAGGAAGAGGAGCAGGACAGAAAAGCAAAGACAACAGACTGAGGGGCAGAGCCGAGCTCAGGACACCACGACCTGCACACTCACCATAGTCTCAGGGCCCTTAGTGCTGGTCCGTTCCTCTGCAGGGGAAGGCGGCGGGGGGCTGCTCCGGGCCGTGGGCGTCCAGGCCTCTGGGGGTGGTGGAGGGGCTGGTGTTGTGGGCTGTCCCTCAAGTTCAGACTCTGGGGCAGTTGGCTCACGGACTGGCCCAGGCTCCAGAGGCTGCCGGGATGCAGGGCCTGGGCGTCCAGAGGCACCTGACTCAAAGGACCCCACAGGAATGCTGGCGATGGCTGCCTTCACTTTCTGGGGCACCTTTGGACTGGGCCGCTGGGCCTTGGGGGCCACTAAGCTGTACGTCATGGAGCCTGCTAGTGAGAAGAACATTTGCTGAGTCAGACCTGACTGGAACCCACACCCTAGGCGCCCCAACTCACTCTGCCCTGGATTGATGTGACACCCACCTGTGGCACTAGGGAAAGGGCTAGTGGGGGCTGGGGTGGCAGTGGCAGGGACTGTTGGGCCCTTGGGCAGAATGGCAGCAGCAGGTGGGGTTGTGCTGGTAGCCACAGTGTAGACTAGGCTTGGGGGAGCCTGGGATGACTGGGCCAGCGGTGCCGAGGAGGTGGGTGCAGGGCTGCCAGGGTAAAACGCCGTTATGACAGGACCTCCTGGGGCTGCGCAGGCAGGTGGCAGCTGAGGGCTGGGTACAGGTGACACGCCCACCTGGCCAGGAGCCAGCAATGGAGCTTGGCTTGCTGAGAAAGAGACAGAGAAGGAGATGCATGGGACAAGTCAGGACCTGTGCTGCCTCAGCCCCACCCTGGGTCCCCAGCACTGCCTGCCAGGCTGCCCCTCACCTGAGAGCAGGGGCTGCACGAAGGCGGGGCCGCTGGGCCCCAGCGAGGTGAAGCCTAGAGCTACAGAGCTCGTGGGCCCGTACGATGTGACTGTTCCAGCCTGGCTGGACGTAGGGCTGGTGCCCAGGGGCAGCGCGTGCCCGCCTGCTGACTGCACGTAGGTGATTCTGCCGCAGGGAGAGGAAACGGGGAGTAGTGAGGTGAGCTGGCTCCACCCCACCCCTTCCCTGGCCTCTAAGTGAGGGCTCAGCAGCAATCACCTGGTGGAAGAGGGTAGCAGGACCTTCTGGGGCTGAGAGGTGGGTCCAGGGAGCGTGGCTGGGCTCAGGGGCGGCACCAGGCCGCTGGGCGTGCTCACAGGCACTGGAGTCAGCTGAATGATCTGTGGAGAAAATCACCCACAGACTGGGATGAGCTGTGGCCCCAGAGAGGGGCAAGGGAATGCCAAGACCTAGGAGCAGGGGTCTAAGCACAAGTAGGGAGCATAGAACTTGGCATCAGGATACAATGGAAATGGTGACAGCAAGACATGGGGATTCAGAGAAGAAATAAGATGAAGATGAAAGAAAAAAGGAGTCAGGAGCAGGAGGCACACAGACACCAGGAAGATGACAAGACAGACACCCAGACACAGAAAAGACCAAATGAAAGGCAGACACAGAAATGGTGGGGTGCAAGGACCAAACTCAGCAGAAGGCAATGAGGGAAAAGCAGGGCCACAATCAGGGTGTCCTCACCTTGCTGGGTGGCTGGGCGCCATTCTGCACAGGTACTGAGAAAGGTGGGCTCACCAGGGGCAGCGGCTGGCCAGCCCCTCCACCCCGCACTGACATGCTAGGGGGGGCCAGGGGCACTAGAACCTTCCCAGGTAGCAGCTGGGCTGAGCCTCCCGGGGGCGGGGCCTGCACAGGAGAAACTGACTGGGCTGGAAGTTAAGAGGGAAGGAAGGAAAAGGTTACAAGGGAGTCAAAAAGGCCTGTAGCCCCTCTCCTTATGCTGCCCAGCCCAGGCCTCACCTTTAGGGGGTGGGGCGGAGGGTACGGACTGCAGGATGGGGATGCCAGGAGTGGGTGCAGTGGCAGCCAGGACCTTGCCGTTGGTGGAGGTGCCCGGTGGGAGGGTGAAACGGATGCTGGTGGTGGGTGCAGGGCCGCTGGGAGCCGCTGCCTTGGTCCCAGGGGCTGGTGCTGGGGCAGGTGCCACTTGAAGCTGCTGGGGCAGCGTGGGCAGGATGTACTGCACCTGGGTGATTCCCCCAGCCTTGCCCAGGGCACCTGGTTGCAGTATGCCCAAGGGTACTGGCCCATTGGGGCCACTCCCAGCACCTGCTCCTGAGCCTGCAGTGGTCCCACCGCCAGGGGCCCCCTGGGCAATGAACTGTACAGCAGGAGGTGCAGGGGCCCCATAGCCTGAGGTGCCCACCAGTAGGTTAGTGACAGTGGCAGGTGCCTTCCCCACAGTGCCTAGGAGGGGTCCAGCCACTAAGTGTGGGGCTGGTGAGGTGGCTGCTGCTGACTTCTTGTCCGAATACAGTAAGCTGACGCCCAGTGGGGAGCCCCCAGGCACCCGAGACCCAGTGCCCATTTCAGTTCTGGCACCTGCTATATCATTTGGAGACACCTCAGCCCGGCCAGAGGTGGGGAAGGGCTTAGAGGCAATGGGCACAGGAGTGCTGCTGACAGGCCGCACCACGTTGGTGACCATGGTGGCAGCAGGGCGGGAAAGGGGAGCTGCTGGGGTCCCGTAAGCCAGTGATGGGGCCGGAGCCGAGGGCACTCTGGCTCCACTGCCCTCCTGCTCCTCCTTGTTTGAGGGCAGGACCAGTGTCTGCAAGATGCTTCCTCCTCCACTGGGAGGTGCTGCAATGACTGAGGGGCCTGGAGGCTCCAGGCTCCCCACACTTTCAGGTCTCTTGCGTCGGAAGGTAGCAGGATCCGTTGGAAGGAACCGGGTCGCCTTGGAAGGTGTTGCCGGGCCCCCAGCCCCAGGGGGTGGGGGCCGCAGTGGGCCTACTGTGCTGCCCTGACCAGACTCCTGGGCCTTGAAGGTTCCTGTGCCCAGTGAGAAGGAGGTGGCTGCTGAGGCTGAGGAGGAGGCAGGTGAGGACGAGGAGGACGGGGTGGGACCATAGCCTTTGCCGAAGGCTGCAGGTGGATCCGGGGGCCCTGGGGGCTCAGGATCCAGCGTGGGACGGCAGTGGGTAAAGGAGGAACGGATCACAGGTGAAAACACCTTCCGACCAAATCCCTGGGTGGGAGGAAAAAGCAGACATCCCAGGTCAGGGAGCACCTAGATACCCACCCCCACTCAGCCTGTCAGCCAGGCCAGCCTAAGCCTGCATCCTTGCCAGTTGAAGGCCTCAATTCATCCTGGCTGTGACTCAACTCCCCATGGGCCAAGTGGCTTGCCCTCTCTGGACGTTTATCTCCCTTTCTGTCAAATGTACAGGAGGAACAGACGTTTCCACCTCCGAGAAGTGAGTGTGATGGGACAGCACCATGAAATAAGATCTCACCTTGTTGCCCTCTGGGTCCTCCCCAGAGCTGTCTCCACTCTCGCTGTCGGTCACCCGCTCTTTGCACTTGAGGTCAATGTCAGTGGTGCTGAAGCCATCATCAGCTGAGAGAGGAGAGGGAACACTGTGGGCAAGGGACTGGATGCAAGACCACCTAAGAGGAACAGTCTGGAGCCTGGGTTCTGGCCTCAGCTCTGCCCCAAGTGGGGAGTGAGTGTTGTCCAGGAAGGTCATTCCTAAGTCTAGGGCTATGACCACTTGCCCAACGCAGGAACCTAAGAGCACACAGATAAGAGCATCGAACACGGTGTCTAACTCATGCCCGTGTCCTTTGAGTTTCCTGCCTGGCTAGGGGCTTCCTGAGGGCAGGGATGGGTTTATTCCTCAAGGCCTGAACTGACTGCCTGCCACCATAAACCAAAGTGGAAAAAAAAACAGGAGTCAAGGGTCCTGGGTCAAAGTTCTGCCCACCCTCCAAGCCTTGACCTGCTGGGCCCTGGGCAGGATTCTGAGCCCTTATTGCTCACCAATGACATCATCATCCCCTTCCTCCTCACAGATGACCATGCGCTCCTCATCACTGGTCATGTCCTCACTGGCTGCACGCTGGGAACGGGAGGCTCGGGTAGGCAGTAGTGGGGGCCGCCCACTAGCTGCCAAAGCACCTCCCTCACCAGGGGCTGCAAAGGGGCCTGGAGCTCCATACTGGGTAGGTGGCTTTGGGCCAGAGTACGATGCAGGGCCAGACACCATCTGCAGGACAGGTGGCAGGGAGAATTCAGCTGGCTGCTGCCTTGAGCAGCCCTCCCTGCCCACCCCTCCCCGGGAAGCCTGCACCACAGACCTGTGTCAGCTCCTGTAGTGCCTGGCTGTCCACTTCTCCACCGTCTAGGCTATGCACCCCACTGTGGGAGAAGGCTCGGGGCCGGGCCGAGCCAGGTCCCCCAACTGTGTGCAGCCGTTCTGCCCCACAAGAGCCACTCCCTGGAGCCTTGGCATCTGAGCTCAGGAGTGTCTGAGCTGCGACGGACAGGAGCTCAGAGGACACTGTAAAGTAGGAGGATAGGCTGTCACAGAGCAGTGTTAGGAAGCGTCTCACCAGCACCTAGACCGGCCAAATGACCCACAGGTATTCTGAGGTACTCAGCAGAAGCAGGTTGGAATTCCTGGACCACTTGGTAGAAAGAAACACCACCCACCACCAGTCCGGCATCTCCATCCTGTTGGATCCTACCCTCTGGGGTTGCACAAAGCAAGCCCCTTCCCTTTAGAATAAGCTCTTCTGAGAGTAAGCAAGCCTGGTGTTGGCTGCCTAACTGTTGGTCTGTCTGAGCCTCGGTTCCCTCACATCAGAGAGGAAGTAACTAACACTCCCACAGAGCAGTAGGGACATAGCCACAGGTTCATTCCAATAAAGCCCTCCGAACGTTGTCAGGCACATCAGATACCCTCAATAAGTAGCAGCAGCTGATCAGGGGTGTTGTGAACTGCATTAGTTCTACCTATGGTTCTAGAAGTCAGAGAAGCTGGAGTTTAAATTCTGACTGCCACTTACTTGTTTGTGATTTTATGCAAGTGACTTTGTTTCTCTGAACCTCAGTTTTCTCATCTGGAAATAGGTATAGTTTTAAGTAATAGAGCTTATATCCCCCATGATGCCTGGCAGATAGCATATGCCCAATAAATAGCAGTTGACAATGAGATTACTATTTGGAAACTACCTGTCTGGATCTTCCTGGCTCTTTCACACGAGACAACTGCCAGTTTAATAACAGGTAAGGGTCAAGTGAAAAAAACAGAGCAGAGAAGCTGCTGGGGCAGGAGGTGAGCAAGGAAGGGGGTAGCTGATGGCTCTCAGGGAGGGAGGTGCAGGGTGGGAGAGCCGAGGGGCTGACTAACCCCCAGGGGCAGCGGCAGTGCCCGTCTCCGACATGCTCCGCTCCCGCGTCTCCTTGTGCCCTCCTGCCAGCCCCAGGCTCGTGGGCTTGGCCTCTGAGCTGGACTTCTTTCGGTCCTTGTTGCACCACTTCCAATCTGGGTGGGCCTTGAAGTGGGCCTCCTTCACCTGGCAGGAGAGGGCAGGGCGACCCTTCACTTACCCACCCCACCAGGAGAAGTCAGGAGGAGCCAAGAGGAGGAGGCGTTACCTGGAAGGCCAAATCATGGTACTTCTGCTTCTCCTTGGGTCCCAGGGCGTACCACCACTCGCCCAGGATCTTGCTGACGGTCCGGTTGTCCTGGTTGGGGTGACGCTGGTGGACCAGGGCCCGGTGCCGCTTGCTGAAGATCATGAAGGCATTCATGGGCCGCCGGATATGGTCCTTTTCCCGCTTCATTAAACACAGACCAGCGCGGGATAGTTAGAACATGAGAGAGAGGCTTGGGTGGCCAGAGGGTAAGGAAGAGGACAGGTGAGATGAAGTACCTTGTTGGGGCTGCGTCCATCCTTCTCAGAAGATGAGTCCCGTTCCTTGGGCAGAGCACTGAGGGACTGGGTCCGACGCTTTCCAGGTGGCAGAGGCAACTGGATCTCAGGAGACATGATGGAGAGGAAGCTGTGGTGGGGCATCAGGGCAATAAGGGCCATGTCTCTTGGTCACCCCACCCCCTAGTTCCGTGCCTCAAGGAACTTACGCATCATCATGGTCACTCTCTGTCTCGCTGTCCAGCCGGGGCTCTCCTGGGGGACCGGGGGCCTCCTCCTCAGTGGTGGGAGGTGGACCCTTACAAGGTTCCACCACCCCCAGAGTGTGGGGGGGTCCAGGCCCTGGGCTCTCAGGACATGTGGCTCCTGGTGGCCGCCCAGGGTCAGCATTCCCTGTCCCACCTGGTAGCTGCTCATGAGCAACAGCTGCTGACTCAGCAGGTTCTAGAGACAGAAAGGTGGATCAGAGGGCTCCTGGGCCACCTGGACCCCATACTCATGCATTTCCAGTTTCCCCCACCCCTCACCTTTGCTCTGGTTGGAAGCCACTGGGTGGCTGGCAGGTTGCTGGGCCTCGCTCGGCTGCACGGAGGGGTCAGGCTGGCTAGGTGCCAAGAAGGGGACTAAGGAGTGCCAGGGAAACACGGCCACAGAACGAGGTTCCACATTTGTCCACACTGCAGAAAGGAGCTAGGTAAGAACTGTGCAGCAGGAGAGCCTGGCTCAGACCCCCAACTCCAGTTCTTCCCCTGCTTTATACCCTCCCCTCCCCAACCCCAGAGCTTCTTGGACTCGTCCATGTAACGTCACTCAGGAAAAACTCCTCCCTAAAAGGTTTCTAGATTTATAAAAAAGAAAACAGAAGCAGGGAAGGGAAATAGTACTCACGCCCCACTCCTCCCCCCACCAAGCTCCACGAGCCCTGCCACCAGGGACCAGGACAGAGGAACGATTTGCTCTTGCCACAAACCAGGTCATGCTCGGCTGCCATCCCACACTCCCAGGGCCCCAAGACTTCAGCCAAGCTGGAGACCCCCCACCCAAGTCATAACACATTCCCAGCACTCAAGTGGCCATCCAACAAAGCCTCTCACCTTGGTCTCACACTTCCTTTCCCTTTCCTGAGGCAGATGGCCCTGTGTCCCCACCCCTCCAACACTCTGTCCATTACCCACAGGCTGTGAGATGTCACACAGTTGTGGTGTGGCAGAGGTCTTTCTCCTTATCTTTCTCCCCCACCAAAGGAGCCAGACCTGCCCTTCCTGAGCTGGGCACAGGTGGCTCCGGCAGCTCTCCCCTTTCCCTCCTCCCAGAAGAGAATATATCGCCCACGAAGTCTCCCTTCCCATAAACCCTTCAGCTTATCTTTAGTCCAGGGTCCAGCCCCCTTGCCAGAAACAGAGGAGGGTGTGGTAAACTCCTTGGAAGAAAAAGCAGGGACAATGGGCCAGAGAGAATTGTTGCAAATCTCTGCCCAGAGAAGGCAAAAGTGCCAGGTGTTTCTTCGAGGATATGCACAGGAAGATGCTTCCTCACCAGGGGTCCAACCTTCAGCCCTAGGAGGTGGCTAGTAGGAGGCCAAGCCCTGGCCTGGGACCCACTCCTGGCTGGACTTCAGGGGCGGGACCAGAATAGGAGTGGGCTTTCCCTCTTACTGCCTGGCTCCCTGGGGGAAGTGGAACCAGCAGAGGAGAGAGGCCCCTGCTTGGGGAAGAAGGGAGGAGGGAACCGCCCTACTGCTGGTCTCCATCATTCCAGACCTCCCTTGATCCAGATCAACCTGACCTGAGGTGACCTCCCAATGTCTTCAGAAGCCTGGACTAGAGAAGCTGTACGAGGGGTACTGACCTCAAGACCTGATTCTGTGAGGGGCTGACAAAGGAAAAAGTACACTTCAAGGAATCAGGGGACAGGGATCAGGAAGACAGCACTGGAGAGTACTCAAGACTCTGATGACCCAGTGCCCTATCCCTGGGGCACTGGGGGCCCAAGGACCTGCTGGGCCTCCAACCCCAAAGAGCCCCAGACACCTGGACCTGTTCCTCTCTTCACAAAGATCTTTCTCATCAGAGCCTCATTTTCTGAGGAGTGGGGTAGAGGGACCCAGCAGACAATGGAGAGCAATCCTTTGGTCCTGCCCCCTCCTGAACCCCTCCCCAGTGTACTACCCTCCAGGTTCTTAGGTCTCTCCCTCTCTCTGCAAAGTACACCGAAAACAGCTTAGCCCATCACTCAGCTCTCAGCAAACAGTACCTCACTCACGTCCCAAGCTCTATCCTTAGCCCCGCTACTCAATCAAAGCCCCCTCCCCTAAGGCCAGCAGGTCTCATGTTGCTCCAAAGCCAGTTACTCTGCACTACTCGCTTTCCTATTACAGCGAACCTGTTCCATCCCATCACAGCTGTCCCAGGTACTCCTCACTCCGCTACACTCCCACCTGCCGTCACTAACCACTCGGCCCGGCCGAGCTCCGTAACTTTCCCTGTCGCCCCTTTACTAAGCCTTTACCGGTATCAAGCGTACTATACCCCCATCACCGTTACTCTGCACTTAGCACCCCAACACCTTGACCCCTGCATTCCCAGGGCGCAGGCGCTACTGACCGAACATGCCGAGGCCACGGGAGGCCGCGCCGGACGCGGGCATCAGGGGCCTGTGGGCCGAGTACATGGTCCGGCGCGGGGGGGCCCGGCAGGAGCTCGCACCTCCTCAGCGGCCGA